GCGAAATTGACATCACGCCTCACGAATGTGCGCCGCCGGAGAAAACGACCCATTTCTGCCAAAAGGGGTCGTTTTTTCGCTGGGTCCCGCGGCATTGCATTTTCGTGTCGACTTGTATCACATTAGCGTCTTCCGCCACAGCCCCTGGCGAAGTGATTGGGAGCAGCAGCATTCAGTGATGCGATCGGGAATTTAAGGGGGTACAGGTCTTTCCCTTAGGGGCAGCGGGTGCTTCCGCTGTGAGGGCCTCCTCTGCACCCTTGCACTGTCCCCGCCTGTGCGCATGCTGGGCCATTCGGCTCCCAGCATGTGCACCTTTTCCTCAGCGCGTCTGGCGCCCCTCTGCCGTCCGCCGCCTGGCCGCGGACTCTGTCTCTCTCGAGGTCCGCCAATGGGAGCTAAAGGTTAGCTGGCAGCGGCTGGTGCCGCTGTGCTGTCGGCTAGCTTTTGCCGCTCCTGTTGGGGTTCTCGGCCTGTGCGCACTGTGCTGGGCCATACGGCTCCCAGCTGGTGCACCTTTTCCTCGGCGCGTCTGGCGCCCCTCTGCCGTCCGCCGCCTCGCCGCGGACTCTGTCACTGCGCACTGTGCTGGGCCATGCGGCTCCCAGCTGGTGCACCTTTTCTCTTTTCGCCAGCCCGTGCGCCCGCGTGGCACCGCGTCCACGGGGCCTGGGCGCGGGGGCGGGGGGTGCCCCGTCTCTGCGCGCCGCGCAGCGGCCAAGCGCCCAACCGGCGGTCCGCCAAGCCGCCTTAGCCACGTTTTTCACGTCGCCACTTGCGTCGGGGCCTTCTTCTTCACGCGGTCTGACACGTGAGATCTTCACAGTCTGTCCGCCGTCAGTAGCTTCAGACGCATTGCGCCGGGGGAGGGGGCCTGTCGCCCGCCCTCGTTTCTTAAGGCTGCACCGCCGCTAATAGTGTTTTGCGAGTTGTCGCACCGCAGTGCGCCTCGCGGACGGACCCTGGTCCGCCTACTTGTCCGCTCTCTCTCTCTCTCTCTCTCTCTCTCTCTCTCTCTCTCTCTCTCTCTCTCTCTCTCTCTCTCTCTCTCTCTCTCTCTCTCTCTCTCTCTCTTTCCCACTATACATGTATGTAAATCTAGATTGGTATGTAAACGCAATCTGCCACCAGTAAGCAAATTTATATAAATCAATATGTGTACATGTTAGATATAAGTCGCTATATATATATATACACAAGCATATACCACTGCATCGGTATGTTTACGCATACCTAAACATGTCAATATGCCACCTGTAGATCCACAGGTCCAGCCATTGACCCGCCGTTGTGCATGCAAATATGTGCATCCATTCACTGTGCATGTATGTGAATATAAATGTACACACATACATATATATATATATATATATGCGTGTGTGTACCAACCCGTGTACATGTCTAGCCAGCTATCGATCAATACGCACTTCGACCCGGCCATCCGCATGGATCGATGCATGTGCCCATCGACCCATCCATCCAGTCTTCGGCCCATCCACGCATATGCCAATATACATATTTCGATGGGAAAACATACGTACCAGTGCATCTACATTTGTAGCAGCTCACTCATACATGTATATGCATATGTATACGCACCAAAATATGTATACACATGCGCATACATAACTGCGCACGTGCATATGTGCATATATGCCGATGTGAACACAAGACACGGTACACCGACCCATAACCCTATGCGTCGACCAATCCTTCAACGCACCAGAAATTGTGTGTGTGCGTGTGTGTGTGCATGCACGTGTATGTATATATATACACACACATCCAACCGTTCGTCGGCCGATCTGTCTATCCACGCACTTGTGCGCATCTACCGTCTCACTTGTGTAAATGTATAAATTCACATATACGCATACGTATGTACGGTTAAATATTCACAATTCGGTAAATATTGCTTGTTACGTCTATCGATGTACACATGTATTCGTCGACCGCCGCCAGCCACGCGATGGGGATATGTGTGAATCGTCCGCGACCACATCGCACAACAACACTTCATTCGCAGTGCGCGCAATAGAACACTTGCAACTTATCTTTGAAAGATCCCCACCATGAAACCACATGGGCGGATTTGATGTGCAAGCCTTACCATAAACATGAATTCCTGAATCGCCAGCCCAGGGCAGCCGATTGCAAAGCCAGACGCAAAAAGTCGATTCGTCTAAACGACATGGCTGATTGCGAAGCCGCACAAGAAGATTGGATGCGAAATCCACACAATAGGAATCAATGTGTAAACCTCCTGCAAAAGGAATCATATTGCGAAGCTAAACAAAATGACTCAATGTGCAACGCGCGCAGTGGGAATACGTTGGTAAATCGCCTACGCGATGGAGCCGAGTGTAAAGCCGCACAGACGGATTGCCCCTGTAACCCACACAAAAAATGAAAAATGGAATCGCCGAGAGAAGGAATCCCAATGTGGGGCCGAACAAAAGGATTCGATGCGTAACCCGCACAACAAAAAATACAAATCGCCTGCAAAAGGCCCCCCATTGAAAGCGGGGCGCCGGGGCAAAGGACAACCAAAAACAAAAATAAGCACGGGGTCCCCCGCCGTCCTTTTTGTGGCGGGGGGCGGGGGCGCGGGACAAAACAAGACCACTGGGGGGATTTAATGATATGATTCCTGTTGATTGTCACTGCCCCTCCCCCCCAAACTGTTCCCGCCCCCCCTCCTAGGGGAACCGTTCTGCAGACGACTTACACATTGATGCCTAATGTGTGGATTACACATAGAATTAACCCTTCGGCGCTGCCTGAAAATAGCACCCCCTTGGAAGGCGATTTGCAAATTGATCCCGAGCGCGAGCGGAACGCAGAAACGATCCCTGGGCGCGGCGTTACACGAAAACTACTGTTGTAGGCAATTTACATATGGATTCACACTGCGTGGAATACACATCGAAACTTTCTTTCTGGTTCTACGAGAGGATCCCGTTCGCAGACGAAACTAAGGAACATAGAATAACGAGCGAAATAAATAAAGCAAAACAAAGCGAACGACATCACGAAACAAAACAATAACAACGGAAAACAAGAACGAAACAAAGAAACGAAGCAAACAAAACAAAGCATAAAGAAGAAGGTCAAAAGCGGGAACGTCCAAAAACTGTCGCACTCGCCAGGCCCAGCACTGTCGAAAAACGACCCGGGATGAAAAACCAGCCCTGGGGAAAGGATCGAGACTTCCGGGGACCCCGCACTGAAAAAATCAAGGCACCGCATGCCTGGGACTGACACCGTGGAGGCGCTAGTGAGACCCACACACGGCCGCGATCACGGCAGCTCGGCAGACCGGCCTCGGCGAACGCCTCCGTGACACGGGGGCCCAGATCGGCGGCAGCTGGATTCTCGGGCGCAGGAGCCCATAAGCAGTCATGCTGCACGCCGATGACGACACCTCCGATTTGCTCGGAACGGTTGGGCTGGGCAGCGCGGTCCAGGGGCCTGGCCGCCCTGAAAGACGCTGTAGCCCAGCGCCGCAGGACACTGGAGTCCCCTGGCGCGCGGCGCCCGCGCTCCTCCTCCTCCTCCTCTACCTCCTCTTCCTCGTCCTCCTCCTAATCATCACCCCCCAGATCATCACCTCATCCTCATCCTCACCCTCATCATCATCAGCATCATCATCAGCAGCATCATGATCAACATCAGCATCATCAGCATCATCATCGCCATCATCATCATATTCAGAACCATCACCATCATCATCACCATCAGCATCACCATCACATCCACCATCAGCATCAGCAGCATCATCATCATGACCATCACCATCATCATCCTCATCATCCGTCATCCTTTCTCCTCATAAATAACTCCTCCCTGTCGCACCCCGAGGTCAGTCGAAAGGGCGGGCCGGGCGTTTCGCCTGAGACATCTTGATCACTCACGAACCTGAAGCTTAGAACTGTTGCAACAACTTCACGGATGGAGGGCAAGGTCGTTTTCAAAATGCGGCTCTCGCTTCAGCGCCGCGAGCACCCGTCTTAAAAACGCGCAACAGTTACACCGATGGAGGGCGGGTCGTTTTCAAAATGTAGACCTCGCCTTAGCGCCACGCATCTGCGTTTAGCAGAGTACGAAAGTGTCACGGATGGAAGGCACATAGTTTTCAAGATGTGGTTCAAGTCTTAGAGTTGAGCACACACGTCTTAGAGAATGTAAGAGCTTCGCGGATGGAGGGCAGGTCATTTTAAAGATGCCGCCCTCGCCACAACGCCGCGCATACTTGTCTTACAAATCTGCCGAAGTTCACTGATGTATGGCGGGTCGTTTCAAATTGTGGTTCTCGCCTGAGCGCCGCGCACATCCGTTGTAAGAGTTTACAACCGTTTCGAGGATTCGAAGGCGAACGTCCCAGAAATAATGTGTTGGCACGATGTCGGACAGTCAGGGCGCAACAATTACGTCGATTCGTTGTGTTGAAGTCCCAAGAACGGCGCTCTTGCACGAATTAGGATCGTCAAAACGTAACAGTAACAATTATTCGCGGCGTTGACGGCCCCGGAAGGGTGTTCTGGCACAGTTCTGGATGTTCAAACGGTTGTTTCCAACGGGACACTTCCTTCAGTGGAAAAGAACTCGTTTAGATGCTTGTGAAAGTGGAACTTGGGGGTAGGGTGTATTGCACTGGTCCTCCTCCTCCATTTCCTGCTAGTCATCCTCCTCCTCCTCTTCACCCTGCTCGTCCTCATTCTGCTGCTGCAGTATCATTATCTTCATGGTTTCCCTGTCGCTCTCCCTCTCTTGCTCCTTGACTTGCTCAGTCTTGCTTCCCCCCCCCACACACAGCCCCCCACCCCAGCCCTCCTCAAGTGGGCCAAGTTTGCCCTGCATGGCCTCCAACGTCGTCCAACAGGTCCTCCGAGACAGCCCAGACGCTGGCCCCAAGACGGCCACGGACGGCGCCAAGAGGGCCCCCGATGGCCCCAGGGATCCCCTCCTCCTCCGCCTCCTCCTCCTCCGCCTCCGCCGTGCGTTCCTCGAGCCCCCGGCCCCTCCCGCGTCCGCCTTCTCCCCGAGGCGAGCGCCACCGCGCCGCCGACCCCCCGCAAGTGCGGGGCGATGCGGGCGAGCGCACGGCGCCGCGCGGGGCGCTCTCTGCAAGGGGAAAGCTCGGGCGCCTCGGGCGCCGCGAAGCCGTGGCGAGGCGACGAGCTCGGCGGGGGCGGGGGGGACGGACGGCCCCGGGAGCGAGCATCACGGAAGGGGCACAGGGGCACGCAAAGAAATGCACACAGAGCCCAGGAGTCCTCCGTATTTTCTCGGCGTTCGCTTCCCCTCCCCCCCCCCACTTCCCATAGTTCCCCACCTTCTCTGGGAGTCGACGATTAATTGTGTCTGTGCGTCTGTTCCCACTCCTGACTTGCAGGGATGCGCCGAGGAGGGCCTCGACGAAGACGAGGGGCGATCTGAGAGCCCCATGAATGCATGCAGTGCTCCTCCCTGGGCCGTTCGCCCTACTCTCGCTCCCGCCGACGAAAGAGCAACGCGAGGAGGAGTTGGAGGAGGAGGAGGAGAAAAAGAAGGAGGAGGAGGAGTTGGAGCGTCGGGTCGGACGGAAGGAGTCGGCGGCGCGCACAAGTGGGTAGGGGGAGAAGGAAGGGCTTCTTTGGAAAGAGGTTGGTTCTCAGAAGGCGCTGGCCCACGTCTGTAAAGACGGCCCGCGCCTTCGAAGAAACAGGCGTGCTTCCAAGGAGCCCTCCCCCCTCCACCCACCCCCCTCTGCGCGCGGCTGAAACAGAAGGAGGGTTGGCGAGCCAGCTCGCGCAAGCTGGTTTGCCCAGCGCCTCTGGGCTCTGGAGGCGCCAATTGGCACGCCTGATGCGGGTACGGAACTCATCGGCACGATGCCCAGCAGCAAGCCTTCTCCAAGACCGACAACGGCCGCTGCTGGGCAGACGGCCTTCTGTCTCAATCGGGCAACGTCCGCGGCGACACCAACAGCGAGTCCTGCTCAACGTAGGCAGGACTTGCTGTCGGCATTCGTGCCGAGTCTTTCCATACCCACGTCGGCGGTCCCGAGCACATGGTAGTACCGAGGATGGCGCCCAGCGGCGGGGCCGAGGTCAGCTGCGTGCGGCAGAGCTCGTAGCCCCCACTTCCCCGATTCTCCCGTCTCGTCCGACCCGAGTGGCGCCGGCCAAGAGAAGCGCGCTGGAGGGGCGAGGCTTAGAAAGGCAGCCGCCGTGCAGCCAAGGTGCGCGTCAACCAGGCTCCGCCGTGGGCGAGGACACGCGAGGAGGAGGAGGAGGAGAAGGAGGAGGAAAAAAAGGAGGAGGAGGAGAAGGAGGAGGAGGAGGAGGAGGAGGAGGAGGAGGAGGAGGAGGAGGGGGCTGCGAGGAGGAGGTGGAGGAGGAACAGTGGAGGGGGCGGAGCGGTGAGGGGGGAGGAGGGAAGGACGAGGAGGAGGCGGAGGAGGAGGAGGAGAAGGGGACAAGGAGGAGAGAGGAGGAAAAAAAGGAGGACACATAGTAGTAATTAGGGGAGGAGGAGGAGGAGGAGGAGGAGGCGGGGGGGAAAAGGAGGAGGAGGAGGAGGGAGGAGGAGAAGGAGCCAGGAGACGGACGGATGGAGGAGGAGGAGGAGGAGGAGGAGGAGGAGAGGAGGAGGAAGGAGGAGAGAGGCGGAGGCGGCAGAGGAGGAGGGGAGGAGGAGGGAGGAGAGGAGGAGGACGGAGGCGGAGGAGTGAGGAGGGGAAGGAGGAGGAGGATGGACGAGGACGGTAGGAGGACGAGGGGGGGGAGAGGGGAGGAGGAGGAGCGAGGAGGAGGAGGAGGAGGAGGAGGAGGAGGAGGAGGAGGAGGAGGAGGAGGAAGAGGGGAGGAGGAGGAGGAGGAGAAGGAGGAGGAGGAGGAGGAGGAGGAGGAGGAGAGGAGGCGGAGGGGGAGGGAGGTGGAGAGGAGGAGAGGGGAGGGGGGGAGGAGGAGGAGGAGGGTGGAGGAGGGGAGGAGGAGGAGGAGGAGGAGGAGGAGCAGGAGAGGAAAGCAGGAGGAGGAGGAGGAGGAACTAGTGAGAGGAGGGGGGCTGAGGAGGAGGAGGTGGGAGGGGAGGAGGAGGAGGAGGAGGAGGAGGAAACAGGAGGAGGAGAAGGTAAGGAGGAAGCGAGGAGGGAAGACGAGGAGGAGGAGGAGGAGGAGGAGGCGGACTAGGAGGCGGCAGAGGACGAGGAGGAGGAGGAGGAGGAGGAGGAGGAGGAGGAGGGGGGAACGAGGAGGCGAAGGAGGAGGAGCGAGGACGAGGGAGGAGAAGGGGAGGAGGAGGGGGGGAGGCAGGAGGAGGAGGAGGAGGGTGGAGGTAGGAGGTAGGAGGAGGAGGAGGAGGAGGAGGAGAAGGAGGAGGAGGAGGAGGAGGACGAGGACGAGGTGGAGGAGGAGGAGGAGGAGGAGGAGGAGGAGGAGGAAGAGGAGGATTAGAACTGGATTAGAGCTGGTCTCGCGGTGGGCAACGCCCCAGGGATTTGCTACCGCGGGTTCTCTGGCCGTTTCGGGCCGTCCCCGAACTAAAACCAGGAACCGACGCACTGCCCACGAGGGCTGACCTTCAAATGGGCCTGTTCGTGGTGGGGTGATTTTACCCTGACACAAACGATTAAGCCTGCCCCCGATGACTCTGTTGGGCCCAGGGTGACATTGGGAAAACAAGCCCGACCACCAGTCGCGGGCGTACCTGGCACACCTACGACAAAACACCTAACTCTGGCAGAACACGAGTTTGTGCCCCGCTCCCCTAGCTTTGTCGACCCTGACTCCCCCCCAATCCAGAGCGGCCCGAGAGAGGGGGGGGGGCCGTCAGGGGCGGGGGGGGGGGGGGGGGGGGGCAACCCTGGGAGACCAAGCCTGGCCTTCCCAGGGTTGCCCCCCCCTCACCGCCAGGCGTCCCAGGGTTCCCAAGGAGGTCCAGGACGTCCAGGGCGGGGTCGGGTGGGTTCGAGTCCTCGGCAGGACTCGAACCCAATTCAGCGTCGACAGTATCTCGGCTGAGCACACCTACATATGCCCCGAACTCAAGAATGCCTCTGACCAACTTATTGTTCTGGATAGAAGCTTCTCTACACCAGACGGGGTGGGCGCGATACCAGGCCCCCTGTTTGGCGAAAGTATATGCTAGACGATTTCCCTCCCATCTCGCGAGGCCTACGCTCTGCCTCTCAGCATGCGCGGCGTGGGCTTTCACCTTGCAGAAGACAACCGTCCTCGGGCCGGTGCCGCCGACGTCCCCGATGGCGGCCCATCTATCTGGCCCCAGAAGTCTTTGTGTTTGCGGCTCTTGCGGTCCAGCGCCTGCGGCCCCATGGCGAGGCCGCCCAGCGCATTCTGGCAGTCCGCGAGGATGCGCAGCGGCGGCGCGGCGACTCGGAGCACCTGCAACACCGCGCGCAGCTCCGCACGTAGAATACTCCGTGTCCAATGTGGCCCCGGCAACGGGCCACAGTAAGCGCACTCCAGCTCAAGGTTGTCGTCGAGTCTGGCGAAGCCCCAGCCGGCGCGCCTGAGCGGCGCGCAGTCGCCGAACTGCAACGAGCCGTCGGTGAAGATGTCGCCCGTCGCCAGTCCCAGCCATTCGCCCTCGGTGAGCCACGCGTCGCACGACTCGAGGTTCCACGGGTAGAGCCCCTCCGCGGGGTCGCTGGCGATGCCGCGCCCCCACAAAGCCTCGGCCCCTGGTCCGGGCCAAGGGTTCGCTCCGCGTTGAACGATGCGCCTGCCTCCCACTCGTTCTCGATGCGCACGCCGAGCTGGACAAACAAACGCACGATGCCGATCAGCACCTGGCGCCGTCCAGCATGCTCTGCACGCGTCATCTGGCGCAGCCCCCGTCGCGTGGAGACGCGCCTGGGGCCGCGATCCGCCGCAGAACAGGACTCGCACTCGCGCGCGGCGAGCTTGCGTCCAGCGCCCTCGTAACGGTCTGCGTAGCAGCGCCCGCGCGGGCTCGATGAGGATGGAGTTGATGCCGTGGGTCTGGCCCCACTGCTGCACCCACCCGCCCTTCGGCTGCTGCCCCGTCGCCGCGCGCACGAGGTGGCACAGTTCCTGCAGCAGCGCGTTGCGCAGGTCGCACACATTCCCGTCGACGGTGATGCCCCGGGCGGCCTGCGTCACCCAGCCTAGCCGCCTCCCTGCGGCCACAAACGCTCCAGCAGGGCCCCGCACAGTCAGCCATGGCGCCTTGCTCTTGGCCGCCCTCATAACCCATGTCCTTCGCGCGCTCTGCAGCCGCCTCATCAGCTGCTCGCGGTCGCCTCCTGCCACGCGGTCGCCCAGGCGATGATGGGCCCGCTGTTCGCGAGGCCAACTGGGTCCACGTCGTCGCACAGTAACGTCAGGTTGGTGGACCTGCCTTTGGTGCAGCCTGGCATGGCTGTGGCCACGCTCGTCCGCGGTTCTTGCTGCTTGGAGTCCGCCATGCCCACCGTCGCCGAGCCGTAGAGGAGCGCTGGCACCTCGGCGTGCCGCACCAGCTTTTGCGTCGCTCCTCCTGCCCTCCGCACGGCTGCAATCCGTGCCTGTCTCGCTGCGAACTTCAGCGCTCGCTCGTTCATGGCCTCTACCCGCCAGCGCCTGCCCGCCGCCGAAGTCGCGCCGAGGTGCTTCTCGTGGCTGACGACGCGGACACCAAGGCGCCTGGATCTCGCGTTGATGCTGTCGCCAAGTGCGGTGGACGAGGTCAAGGCGACCGTCTTGCCCTCCGCGCCTCGCAAGACTGCCATGTCCAGCCTCGCCTCGAACATGTGGATCACCGCCTCGATGAGCAAGGGGTGAAAGTGCTGGGCGAACTCCCTGAGGCCGCGCGCGGCCACGGCGAGGTCGTCGAAGGAAAGGCATGTGTCCGCCCACGCGAACTGGTAGACCAGGTCGCCCAGCTCCAAGATGATCACCATCTTCTGGCCATGCTGTAGATCCGCAGAACGACGCGCATGAGCCACCGCGCACTCGTAGCCATCGGCTCGCGCTGCCTCGCAGCACATCGCCTGGAGCCAGGCTGCGCGCTCGGAGGAGCGCCCGCGCCGAGCACAGTCGTAGGCACGGCGGCTGGCTGCCTCCCAACACCTGGCGCAGGGGATGCGGCTGGTCTCCCACGCGCGCGCCAGCTCCGGGATGAGGCCGAGATTGCGAAAGCCGCCTGCCGGTTTCGCCATCAAGTAGAACAGGATGGTGGCCTGGGCCGTCGGCCACGGCACGCCTCGCTCCACCGCGTTGAGCACGCTCGCCACGCGTGCTTCTCCGTGAGCGCCTCCGCGTCGCCACAGGCGCGGGTGCCAGCGCGCCTCTCCCAGGCCTGTCTTGGCGCGAAAGCGCCCACGCGCGTCAAGGAACTCCTTGGGCGTGATCCTCGGGACCGCGTACTCGTCGCGCTCCGTATCGCTCGGTGCCTGGCACCAGGGCGCATCGGGGTCGTAGTCGTCTGCCCAGACCTCTTCCCAGCCGCTAGCGCCGCGTCGGCAGCGATCTGCGGGTGCGTGAGCTCGTTCTGGTCGTGAGACTCGGTCGGCTTGAGCGGTTCCCATGGCACTGGCGGCTTGGTCCACACGTGGGTCGCCCCCGCGCCGGCCTGGCTGTGCTTGACCACCCAGCGCCGCCAGCCTTGTGCTGCTTGCCGTCGTACTCGTCGCGACGCATGGGCGCTGGCCACCTCGAGCAGCTCGGCAACGCACTCGATGTAGGTGACGCCCTGCGCGCCGACATTCTTCACGTCGATCCAGGCGATGGTGCTGACCAGCTGGGCCAGTTCCACCGCCCGCCACGTCTTCCACTGTCCCGTCGGTGGGCGGCGCTCGCTTGCCCCTTCCGCCTCTGCCAGCGGGCGGTTCCGGCCAGGGGGCAGCAGCGGACCGAAGAGTATTCTTTTCGGGAGGGTCGGATGCCTCCTCGACTCGGTACGTGGTGATGTTGGCGTTGTCGATGTGGCGCGCCTCTGCGTCGCCCTCGACACTCTTGCACTCGTCTTCGTTCATGCCGTCGGAGCGGGAGGGGGGGCATCCTTGGGAAAGCCAGGCTTTGTTCCCGCCGTCCCCCATCCTTGCCCAGGCTTCGGCACGCAGAGCTCGTCGATGCGCGCCTGTAGTTTGGCCAACCTTTCGTGGTGTTTGGCCAGGATCGCTTCGTCTTTCTCCAGCTTCTCCTGGGCCTCGGCAGTGGCCTTCTCTTGCTCGGCCACGCGCTCCTGAGCGCGATCACGCTGGTTCTCGCACTTGATCTTCTCGCGCACGACCTTGCACTCGGAGAAACACCTGGGTACATCGCTGTCTGCATCGACAGTCGCCTGCAGCTCAGCCACCTGCTTCTGGACAAGGTTGATGTTGTTCGCCACCAGCGGGGCGAGGTCGGGGTCCTGGGCCTTGGCAACATCCTCGGTCCCCGTGGGGGCGGTGCCCGCGGCCGTGCCGGCGTGGCCTCCTGACGTCGCGCCGTCCTTGACGCCCCAGCACTTCCAGCAGTAGTCGTAGCCGGCCCCGTTCTTCGACTTGCATGACGCACAACTCCACCCATGGGGCGAGTGGGTGCGTGGGGCCATCCAGCCCGCGAGCGCAGTGCCACTTCGAAGTTGGCGCTCGCTGACGCCGCGCGCCTCCTCTCTGCAGGCAAAGGCGGGCTCGGCGCGGAATGGCTGGAAGAGGAAGAGGAGGAGGAGGAGGAGGAGGAGGAGGAGGAGGAGGAGGAGGAGGAGCAGGAGGAGGAGGGGGCGGGGGAGGCGGGGGAGGCGGATGAGGGAGGAGGAGGAGGAGGAGGAGGAGGAGGAGGAGGAGGAGGAGGAGGAGGAGGAGGAGGAGGAGGAGGCGCGCCCGGCTTGAGGCAAGCCAGAGACACATCTCGGCGGCTGTGAGAAGGAGAAGGCCTTCTCGGAAGGCGGCAGATCTTCTCAGAAGCCCTCGCGCCTCCTGAGAAATGTTATGGCTTGTCTTCGGGGGGGGATCGGAAACTTCTCTTAGAAGGCCGGGGGACTTCCGAGCCTTCTGAGAAGGCCTTATCCTTCTCACTTCCCCCCTCGCTCGCCGCCGAAGTTGGCCTGGGACACCCACAGGCTGGGGCGGCGGCAACTCACAAACACATCGAGCGGTGGCAAGCCAAGCCAGAGACACATCAGCACCAGCCTGATAGCAGAAGGCCTGACTGCCGGGCGATCGCGCGGCGGCGTACTTGGCCTTAAAATGCTCCACTACAGTCGTCGGGGTTGCGATCTCAAGTATCTGGCTGTGAAGACCGTTGCCTCCGATTGCGGGCTCCAAGAAGAGACAAAGAGATAATGGAAAAACGGTCCACGCTCACGCGTGCTCTTTATATATTATGTCAGTCTCCATGCTCGGACCACGCTCTCACCGTCTTCATGCATTACTCAGGAAGTTTGAAAACAGTCAGAGGAAACATTGTTGGGCGACAGTCGTCTTCCTCCTCGTCCTCCCCATCTTCTACACAGACACTCTGTCAAGAAAATTGCACTGTTTGATCCTGGCGCTGGCGCCTGAGCTCTGCGCAGGGCAGCTGGGGTCTGCAACATAGACGGGCCAAATAAGCATATGAGATGTAGCGTTCTACGGGACATGGCTGGAAACGCTGGAAACCAGGTTACGAATGCAGCCTAAGACACTCGAGCCTTGCCTACCGCCTTCGGCCCCCCAAAAGCCCAACATGATAGAACGTCAACAAGTTGCTGGAGCGATTTTAAGTCAAACGCCAACCGGCAGCAACACAGAAAAGTTTGAAAAACTTGGCACTCACGCGCTACCTGCAAAAAAGATGCCAGGCGACCGCGTGTGATGTGCCCGGGACCGTGCCGGCGGGTCTAGAAAGAGCCCGCGGCGCCTGCTGGAAAGTTGTAGCCCTGGGCTTCACTCGCTCCCTTGCCTAGAAAATCTGGCACTCCGCGCCGTCTGCAAAATCCATGGCCCATTATTTTCCAACAGGATGGTTGCCGAGCGCTCCAGATACAATCGCGTTGGCAGCAAGGGGTGCCACTTCATCGGCACTGAAACCGAATACTGGAGCGCTGGAAATACACAACTACTGAAACAGCACCAAAGATACGCGAAGCACCGTTGCGAGCATCATCCCTCCCTTTCCTCCTGACTTCGTCACTCCCCGCCCCTCATTCCTGCTCGAAGGCCACCGCTGCCTGTACCCGAGACAGCCTCCAGGAGATGCTCACCGAACAAGACGCCGATGCAGATTTCCGTGTCGGCACGGGCCCAGAGGAGCTGCCCTGGCTCGACGAAGGTGATCAGAATTTCGCCGAGGCCCCCGACGGGGCAGGCAGGCGTATCCTAAGAGGGAGCGCTTAGGCCTCCCTGACCCGACCCATTCCCCGCCCACCACTCTTTCGGCGACGCCCTCCAGCAAGGCCGAAGCCACCCAAGAGCGGGAGCGCCTCGACCTGCAGGCTGCCGAGGCTGGGGAATGGCGCTTTGCCCCGACGGGGCACAGCAGCCCATCTCCGCGCGTCCTCTCTCTGTCGCATGGGCCCGCGAAGGGGGTACGGGGCCAGCCAGGCCTCCCCTCCCCCTCCTGATCCTCCCTCTCCGAGGGCGACTCTCCGCCAGGCGCGCGGGCCCCTTGCGCGTCAGGAGGATGAGGCCCCACTGGTGCCTCCTCCCTCGGCTGGCGATGGCGAGGACGACTCCGACGAATCCTCTTCTCAGTGTGGCGGCACTCCCCTCCATTGCCGTCGTTGCTCGCTCTGTAAGCGCTCAGGAGGCGCTGGGCGTGGAGCTCATGAACTTCCCTCTGCTCCTCCCTAGGGGAACAAAAAGTGACATAAACATAAAAACTCGGAGGTCCGCGCGGATTTCACGGATCGGCGCTGGACCCCCCTCCCTGGCGCCCGGAGCGCGCCAGGGGCGGCGCCGGAGGCGCCGCCGGGGGGGCCCCAGCGCCGATCCGAGAAATCCGCGCGGACCTCAGAGTTTTTATGTTTATGCCACGCTTTGTTCCCCTACTCCCTCTGCTCCTCCCCCTCCTCGCCCAGCTTGAAGGGGCCTGGGACACACAAATAAATACACACAAATAAATAGATTCCCCATATTTTCCCATATTTTCTGGGTTTCTGTCTTCCCCCCCCACTTGCCAGATCTTCCCATATTTTCTGGGGAGTCGACGATTAATTGTGTCTGTGTGCTTCTTCCCCTCCTCGCCCAGCTGCGGAGCAGCTCCTCCTCCCGCGAGGCGGCGGAGAGCCCGCCCGCCCGCCACGCCGCCAGGGGCGCCAGGCGCAGCACCGGGCGGGGTCCTTCGCGCCTCTTGGCTCGAGGCCCGCCCTGCCCTCCGCGATCCTCGGTCGGCTGCGCGCAGGAGCGGCACTGCTGAAGGGGCCCTGGGACACACAGATAAATACACAAAAAAATAGATGCCACATAGTTTCCCATATTTTAGGGGTTGTCGTCTTCCCCCCCACTTCCCATGTGTCCCCAGATGTTCTGAGGAATCGACGATCAATTGTGCCTGCGTGTCTCTTTGCCTCCTGAACTACACCGGCATGGATGACGTTGGGTGCGCGGCTTTAGGGGGGGGAGGCGCGCGGGGGCCAAACCAGAGCGCGCGAGCCTTTGCGATCGCATCGCGTTCGGCCATCTGGAGACCCAGGTGTGCCCGCAGTCCAGGTCACTCCAGCGAAAAATCACTCTTGCGTGCAGCCGGCTTGTTTGATCGTTCTGCCGGCTCTTGGGTCGTTCTGCTGGCTCCTGGGCGGTGGCGAATGGTGACATGCGTGCGCCACCCACCCATGGGGCGGATCAGGCGAACCCGAGCGCGCTCTGCGCGAAGCCGCTGGCCGACAATGCCGCCGCCGCCGCCGCCGCCGCCACCGACGACGACGACGACGACGACGACGACGACGACGACTCCAACTCCATCCCTCCCTTCCTTCCTGCTCCTCGTCATAATCCATCCTCATCATCACCATCCCCATCACCTTTATCAGCACCACCTCACTGAGCATAATGATCATCATCAGTGCCTTCTTCATCACTGTCATCACCACAACCGTGCTCTTCCATGTCATCGTACTCGCACTCCTGCTCCTACTAAGCATGCAGAATCCCCTCTCCCCACCGTCATCGCCATCAGCATCATCATTATGATTAGCATCATCAACAGCAGCATCAGCATCATCAGCATTATCAGTCAGCACCATCAGCATCATCAGCAGCATCACAACAAGCATCATCAACATCTGCAGCAACATCATGATTAGCGGTGGCATCACTATCGTCAACAATATCATCGTCGGCAGCAGCATCGTTATCGTTATCGCCACCATCACCTCGGCCTCAGCGTCATCGTCATCATGAGCATCAGCATCGTCACACGCACCACAAGCATCATCAACATCAGTATCGTCATCAGAATCCTGACAATCATCATCAGCATCACCAGCATCATCAACATCTGCAGCAACAGAAACCGTAGATGCATTGACATCTTTATCAACAGCGGCACCATCCTCCTCCTCGTCATCGCAGTCGTCGTCAACAACAGCAGCAACAACAATAATTTTAAGGCTGCCCGTTCTTATTGATTCGCGTTTCACCCAACATGAGAATGACCCACACCCTCGATATCCACCCTCTTTGCCACGTGTGGTTGGTGCAGCCCCTAAAACTGGGGAAGGAAGGGAGGAGGGAAGAGACAAAGAGGGAGGGAGGAGGATGGAACAGGAGAGAGATCTGCAGGATGGGGAATGCGGAACAGGGGTACAAGAGGCAGAACCAAACGGGCGGGGTCGGGCGGGCGGATCCTAACGGGCAGGTCGGGCGGGCGGGCAAAGACGGGTGGGTCGAGCGGGCGGGCCACTGAAGTGTCAATCCAAAAGGAATCGCAAGCCAGTTTCGAACGATGTCGCGATTCCCCCGAGAATCGTCCGGAAATCCAAAGCGAGAACGTGATTCATGAGTTCTTGAGGCCGCGGCGGCGTCTGAATAATTTGCATGAAAGTACCACGCGAGAGCGCTACTCCTGCATACATTGTAAGGAAGTCCCGCGCGAGAGCGCGACTTTGAAAAAAAAGGAAACATCAAGCGGGAGCCGTTATTCTTGGTGTTGTTGTTGTACACCGGGGGCCAGGGGAGTATTCTGAGGGGGGAGACTTCCCCTTGAAAAACAAGGCGCGAGCCCCCTGGAGGAGCCTTTCCATGAAAAAACACGAGGTGCACCGAGGGGGGATCATCAATAATGACTGTGAACTCAACATCCGTATCGTCACCATCGATACCATCATCATCATCATCATCATCATCATCATCATCATCAGCAGCAGCAGCATCATCAGCAGCATCCTCATCATCAGCAGCATCATCAGCATCATCAGCATCATCAGCAGCAGCATCCTCCTCTTCATTAGCATCATCATCAGCAGCATCGTCATCATCATCATCATCGTCGTCATCATCATCGTCATCATCAGCAGCATCATCAAACGCACTAGCATCAGATTCATCATCATAACCAGTATCAACATCCATCCATCCATCCATCCATCCATTAAGTCATCCGTTCCCCCTTGTCTCTTCCCCTCCATCCGCCCTATTTGCTCCTGGCTCGTCCACGTCCCTCCCCATAATTCCATGCTCCTCCCCGATCGCTCCCCGCCCCTCCTTCTCCTCGACCCCCTTCTCTCCTCCTTCCCCTCGGCTCCCTTCTTTCCCATCCCTCCCTCGGCCCCAGGGGGGCGCCCGAGCAGAGGCCCCGCCCCACATTTTGCGCGCTGGGCCCCCTGAGCTGTTGGGCTCCGAGTGTTCGGCCCGCAGCAGACACTCACCCTCCTTCCCTCCCCTCCCCTCCCCCTCTCTCCCTTCACCCCTGCCCCGCTCCGACCTCCCCTCCTCCGCCCCCTTCCCTCCACCACTCCGCCCCTGTTCCTTCCAGCCCTTCCTCCCTCCCTCGCTCCGTCAACCTCTCCCTCCCTCCCCCCCGTTCTCGGCCCCAGGGCGCCCGTGTGGGCCCCCACCTCCGACGTGCAGGGAGACCCCCGGGGCACTGGGGTTCTGGTCCTGGGTCCTGGGCCCCCTCCTTCCCTCCCTCTCCGGACATCCGCCGATATGCGTTTTGCAATCCGCGGCCCCAAAGGTCCCGACCCCTTCCCCGGGGGTGGTCGTTCGTCCCGGATCCACGTATGCTGGCCCATGGGCCCGACAGCGGGCCCCGGAGGCCGAAATCCAGGAAAGAGCGCCAGATGGAAGAAAT